AAACATTATCATTTCACGTGAAACGATTTGGATGTATTATGTATATGATTATCACCATTTTCGTCTTGCTCGGAATGCTGCATTTGCAGCGATACGTATAATATAATAATATGAAGACCGAGGAAGCAATTTTCTTTTAACGTTCGAATCGGGGAAAAGTGAGGTATTCATTATTACACACACACTCGCAGTGAGGACAGACTCGTAGCAGTGAAAATGAAACACAGCACATAAGTACTGCAGCAGTATAGTGGTAGGTATAGTGTTATAACGGCGGAAACATTGTCGCGTAACCATGAACAGTTTCATTTCAGTCGGTACATTATATTATTATGATATTTTCCACCAAATTTACTTCACTTTTACATTTTATTTTTCCTCGGCTCGCGTGTCCCGTGCTCTTAACACGCGTATCGGTGTAATACTATATTGTTATGATACGATATTATACGAAACGAGTCGATACGTTATTATTAACTAAAATATAATATTTGATATTACCTGATATCAATATTTATTCATTACGGTATATAGCAACTATAATTCGAAACCGTTTAATATACCTATGCGCTCCAATGGCGGATCCAGGCCTTAATTTTAGGAGGGACCTGGGGAGGGACAAAAGTACAAAAAGTTTCAAAATTGGCTATACACAGTGTAAAACAAAGGAAAACTAAGGCTATTGGGGGGCAAATGCCCGCTTTGCCCTCCCCTGGATCCGCCACTGATTCTCTCACCTGTCCGTTCGCTGGAAGAGTTTTACCTATTGATTTTTGTTCTCGACAACTTGACGTAATGCCCCCGCAGCAGGTTAAATAGCTACGATATCGGTATTATAATAATATGTTCGTAGTAGTGCATCGGATGTACCTATAGATGTATGGATGTATGTTTGTTTGTGTGCGTGTGTATGTGTGTGTTTGTGTGTATCGCAAAATCCGTTATTTTAGCGACATTAAATCCATGATTACAGTGTTCGTGTGTAATATTGTGTAAGTCGAAATAAACCGATTAAATAATTAATGCTCGCATCAGCAGGTGTGTTTTTATACATCTATAGGATATTCGTTTTAGTCGTTTCGCGAAAATCGATTATGCAAGACGTCAAAATCAATATTATTTATGCCATGACCATAGATATATTATACAACACCTAGATAGCCGTCTGAATACTACAGTTGTGACCAATGTTGAAGTCGGCAGCTATTTATAAAGCGGCAAATGTTTACGTTTATTTTACATATTATATGGTGTGATAACATTGTCTTGTAAACATTTCCTGCTTTCAATGGTGGCCTAATTCGATGACAAGAAGGAGACGGCTGTCTAGTTGTTAGGATTATGTCGGTCTATGGCCGTAACAAATTCATCACGATTCATTGTTGCTGGGGCGGCTCCAGGGGGGCCTAGGGGCCCCTCCCCCTATAGCTGTATTTATAAACAATTTTATACTGTCAAAAACAAAATAACAAAAAAAAATCATCGATATTTTATAAAAATTATGACTTGCCCCCCCCCCCCCCTAACCATGTCTCTTAGAGCCATCTTGTATTGTTGTAATACACAATGGCTAATACCCCGATAATATCAAATGGGAATTAAAAATATTTTGTAGTTTATCAACTATTTTATGCTCTAAAATTATTGCTGGAAAGATCTCGGATTGGTAAAGTGTTTAATTGAAAGGAAGAATAAAACAATATAATATAAAATAATTGTTTTTTTTTTATCAATCTCGGTTTACCCCGACAATAGTGAAAGATAATATTCGATGATCATAATAATATTATGAGGTTGTACCAATGGTCTATACATAATATTATACATTCGATAAAAGTGTAATACAAATATACAATTCTATTATAGGTACCTAGCTATAATAATTGGATTTTGATAAATTTATTTAGAGATGCTGAAACCCGGATCCATATTTCTTAATAAAGTAAAGTTGTAGATATCGTCACCAAAAATGTTTACAGGATTTCTTATAGTAAGTATTAAAATATTTTGTCTGCTCAAATTGCTCTGAAATCTGTTTTTTTTTCTTGGTACTTGCGTTTACTATATTAGAATTATATGACCGTCCAATGTTTATACGTATGGTAACCTAATCCCGGTAAAAACACATTCATGAAAAAGGTCTATAAAAGTCAAATTTAAATTTACTACCTACGCATTTCATCCATAATATTATATTAATATTGTCACATATAATTTAAATAGTTTGGGTAATATTCGGTGTCCTATTACCTAGAACACGTAATGTAGGGTTTGTTGAATTAATTTCCATTCATCTTTATCAGATTTCATAAACTGACCTATAGCCTTAAGGCACATAACTAAATAACAAACTATACCAATATAGTACACATACATATTATAAAACAGTGAAACTGATCTTACTAAATTACAACTCTTGAAGTTAACAGTTTATGTTTCTTATACTTAAATATACAATTCTTTATATATTTTATATCGTCTATTTTCGCATTATAGTTAGCATGCCGTTCAGCTAGAGTAGTTATGTGGCAATATTTTTTTTATATATAATATGAATATAATAATTAGGCACTGCCTAAAAGTTATTTAACGAAAATAATTTTGTGAATGATTGTGAATGATCATTTTTTTCGTTGAAAGGCCCCCCGCTCACCCATAGGTTGTCGTCAGATTTATTGGTTACATTAAGCCAAAGAAAACTTTTTTTCGCATCGCATTTTTTACTTCATCCCACGAGACCAGGTTATATCGTCACATGCAAATTTATCTAGTGAAAAAAAAAAGATATAACGTAAAAAAAAGTTTTCCGAGGATCCGAGTCACGGTCGTGTGTCCCCATACGATAATACTGACTCGCACGCAGTTTGTTTAATCGGATAACGGGGGTCTCCTAATTTACATTCAACTTGTTTCCCCTTCCGTGCTTGTGTTTTCATGTCACTATACATACTTATTCATATCGACGTCCATAATATTTAGAACCGTAGCAATGATTTAATTTATTTAAATGCCGAGAATCGTTTGTTATTTCTATTGTGTAGCAGAATATTTTGATAAACCACTGAGAGTATGATGTATTTTCGTAGAGACGTTTTTAACGACCATAATATAGATTTTTACCAAAGAGTCAACATTGTACAAGTATATAGTTTTATGATGTAGGGTTTGTTAACATAATTGAAATATTTTTTCAAATATTTAATATATTTTTTTTCCGATATTACTCGAACTATAATCTGCTGTTTTATTATCATTATTAAAGTATAATAAACGCCAATATAAGTTTTTCAATATTACATCGATGGCGACAATGCAATAAGTGACATTTTGGAAATTATTCTAGAGAGCCAAAAAACTATTTTTTAACAATAATTACATTTTGTAGATTATATTTTTAATTTAAAAAATATGATAAGAATAAAAAAGATGAGTTATACTCTATTTAAGACAATTGTTCTTCCATTTTTTTAGTTGAACATTTATATCAGTTAGAATTGGCCATTGGGTATTATTATATAATTTGGTGCTTATGCCCCATTAATTTCTTTACCTATAATTAATTTTAGTACTAGTATTTTGGAGCTTATGTCCTATTAATTTTCTTCTAATTGTGAGAATATTCACGCTCAAAATTAATAATTATTATAAAATACAAATAGTCTATCATAGGTAGTTCGTTTTCATTGATAATAATATTATAATTTATAACCATTAATCATAAGTAAATTACATGTTATTTTAGTAGAAACGTAGATAAATAATAATCTCTTTGGAATAAAAATGTTAATAACTTCATACGATATTGCATTTTTAAGATTATGACGTATTATTTTTATTATTTTTTTATTATTATTATTTATTTTCAAGCCAACAGATAACAGAATTTTTTTTTTATATATAAAATCTATTATTATCTATAATAATGATGTTGAATAGGCCCCATAAAGTAAAATCCTATGGACCTTATGTTAACATTTAAAACTAAATGTCGCTTATTCCCTATTTATACACATACTTGTTAATTAATTTATATTTTTTGGCTCTTATGTCTAAATCTAAATTATCGTTTTATATCGTAAATAATAATCGTATCGATAAATGAGTAAGAGAAATCGATACAGAAGGACGTCGCTTATGCCCTAATTACAAAAAGTCGATTTCATAAAAAGTGTCCCTTATACCTTTATGCATTGTCACCATCGATATATTATTTTATATTTATTTTATACCCATATAATATATAGGTTTGTTTTACGCAGGTAGAACAAACGTTATAAATTCTTAGAAAATTATTTTAGATTCACCAGAAAAGTAAATTT